AATTGGTAGATGAGTTTGAAAAGATGCTCAGTAGTCTTCCTGAGACAAATTTGAGTTCATGATAAACTGTGTCAGGATAAATGGAATTTTTTAAGGCTATAGATGTTAGTATCTGTAGGTATTTGGAACATCAGTACTAGAATAGAAAGGAAGTTCCTGGTAGACAGGAGAAGCCCTTTCAGGTCCCCGACAAAGAACAGAGCCACAGAACTGTTCTACTTAGAGTAATTCACCAAGTTTACTGCCCTTAAAAATTTCACTGTAGTCATATCAGCCCTTGCAGCTTATGTTTTGCCTTATAAATTAGAAGTGACAGGTAAAGCACTGCTGACCCCTTCTAGTTTATGTCTTAGGGAACCAACTGGTAATGAGTATTGTTCTCATTAACATGAAAGAAAAGACTTTTCTGTTTGCTTTTCTGCTATAATTCTATTATAATTTCACTCTAGAACATTTTTCTGTGATTGTGATGGATGGGATATAATAAACATTATGGAAAATTCTAAGGCCATCAAATTACTGATTCAAGATGGGTAATTAATACTGGAGTGCATTTGCATGGGTGCTGAGGTGTCTGTTTACAGTAGGTTTATGTGTTCTGTGCTCTGAGTGATGTTGTCATAGTGCTGTGTGTAAACTGTGCTGTGTCAGGAATTGGGGGTTTGGATGGGGCTCTCTAATTTGGGTACTATTTATGTTAAATTGTAAATGATGATGTAGTATGGGATACTGTGATATTTTAAGTGATCATTGCCTTTTCTGCTGTACAATATGACCCTTCTCATCTCTCTCATTCATTTTGCATGCCTCTGCTCACTTCTGTACAGCCACAGTTGAGGCTATTGAGGCTGAAAAAGGTATGATCAGAGTCCTTGTGCTGGGCAGAGATCTGTGGTGTGTGGGTGGGCATCAGAGAATGTCCTGTGGGTGTGTTTTACTCCTAGTTTTTACAGCCCAAGATGAATCAGACTCACTGATTCATCAAGTTTAGAAGCCTTGCAGCCCTCTTTTTTTTTATTTTTCATTTTTAAATCAGAAGGGCTGATGTCTATGGTGACAGTCTTTTTCTTTTTTCCAGTGTAATATGCAATCAGAATGTAATGTTTCTGATTTATTTAGAGTATAGCATATTATGCTATACAGTATAGCTTTATAAAGTTGCCTGTTTTAATGGAAATTGCCAAACTGACCTGCAAATAGAGATCTGTTCCATATTTTGCATGATTCTATGCTACTCAGATTTTTTTCCTTAAGTGAAACCTCCTCTAGATATAGGTGTGAGTTTTTTACTCATATCCAGTAGTGTGCCTGGCTGAGAATACAGGAACTGTCACTATAATGATTTTCTTTTCTTTTTTTTTTTTGGCTGCAGTTTGGGCTATAGTTTATGGATAAGATTATGTTCATACATATCATGTGTTGGCTTGGTATTTCACATTCCTCAGTGTTTGTAGCCCCAGCCATTTGTTTGGTTCATGTGCCAGACTTTGTGTGCCAGGGATTGCAGATATTAAGCAACCAGATTATAACTAGTGGTTTGAAAATATTTCCTGTGAACATGTTAATAATGGAGGATGCATCGTTTTAGATGAAGTGAATGAGAAACCATACAATTGGTGGAGAATTGCTATTTATTTTGATTTGAGTTCCCAAAGATTGTGCAGTATGGCCAGTGAATTAAGGAAAACATCTCCTAAAATAAGAGATTATAAATACTTTTTTGCTATCAGCCATACACAGATCTAACTCTTGGAGGCACTTCCCACCTTTTTAATGTTATATTGGTGGTGATGGGCTGATCTGGACCTCCAAGATAGTTCTGATCTACTATATTTTAACCTTTCTTTACCTCTTTCTCCTCCCAAGCTCTTGGTACAGATTTGTATATTGAGGATTAACCTTGTTTAGCCTCCTCACTTGCCCCTACTCTCGTTGCTGCCTTACTGTTATAGTCACCGGTGATCTTAGGGACTAACGTAGGAGATAATTGGTATAGTAGAAGTCAGACAGACCCTGAGACCATTGCCTGGAGGTTGGTTTTGGGGGCAGGAGAGGGTTAACATTTTTTTGGATTTTTATTTTTTGGAAGGCTTTGCTAACACTTGTCACCTGTGAAGCTATCATGTTTATATTTAGGTTTAAACATTTCACATTTTAAGGGAAGACTGAAATGAGGATAGGATTCAGTTAAAGTGAGATTTAAGTGTTGCTACTTACAGCTACTAATTTCTTTCTTCTTAAAAATCATTAATTATGTTTTGAAATCTCAGAAATGTTTTTCAATTACTGACTTATCAAATTTGCATTTTGTTAAGCAATACGAGGATTCTCTCCACCACATAGAATCTGCAGTTTTGAAGAGGCAAAGGGTTTGGATAGGATCAATGAGAGAATGCCACCTCGGAAAGATGCTGTACAGCAAGATGGTTTCAATTCTCTGAACACCGCACATGCCACTGACAACCACGGGACGGGCAACCATACTGCCCAGTGACCCACGACTTCCCAGGGACTCTCACATCTCGGGCCCCAAATGGACAGATCACCCGAGGAGCTGGAGGGGTCGGCCAAGCTGACTGTAAATGTCACAGTCCCTCTGAAGAAACCATTGTGCTTCTGAGACCCCAGCCCCCTTCCTGGATGGAGGCTTGAGGGCCCTGGGACATGTGCTATCTGATAAGATTGGGTCATCGCTGCCAAGGTGGAGAGCAGTGAGCAAGGGGCTTGGGGCAATTTCCAGTGGAGGGCATCCACACCTCCATTTTATGCTTGTGGTTCACACATTTAAGTTTACAAATCAGATTTCTTTTCCCCTTCAGTAGAATTAGATTTTGTTTTTCAATCAGGATTTCAAATGCAATCCTAAGAGCTAATGTGGACTTTTCTTTTTCCATGAAATGTCTTTAAAGGATGAATTAGCATGGTCTTAAAATACATTTCTGAGGTTACTAGCTGTATTTTGAATTGTGAGCAAAATGCCGAGAAACCCAGTTGGCATTTATACAAAATGTTGACCTCAGGTCTATAGTTCTTAAATGTGGCTAATTCTGTAACATAGTCTTGGTATTTTTTAATTATGAATGCATATCCTATTTCTAGGCAGGCTCTCTTACTTGAACACAAATCCAAAAACTAATTTAGAATCTTTTTTGCCCAGATCTTTTAAGATTTATACCCCAGATATTTAAGAAGAAAACCTCTAAATTTCAAAATTATGAAGAATTACAGAATTACTCATTTAAGGTACTTTAAAAGAAGTTTGTACATTGTCAAAGTAAATTTTAATTCAAATCATGTCTGTAAAACTTGATGTATTTTGTGTATGCATGTTTTCATTTTGCAAATATTTAATATATAGACCTATGATGTACAGGTACGACATGTATAGGTTACCTAGATGTTATGAGAAATTTTAGTTTATTGTGAGTACTCAAGTTGCTTAAATAGCCACCAGGGTGATTTGCTGCTGGCTTTCTATCATTTTTATGTTTTAATGCAAAGGAAATTTTAAAATGTTCTGGAAGTGTTTTTGATTAAGCAATGCAGCCTAGAAGCAATGGTTCTGTTCAATCATTCAGATGTTAGTGGAAGCATAAAAGTCAAGACTGCATGTTGAAACTTTTCTTTTGATAGTTACTGAACTGCTTGGTTAAACTAAATGGAACCATGTGCTAATTTTTCACAATTATTGACCTGTATTGATTGCCACTGTAGTTTGGTATTTCCCTTTACTTTGGTGGCCTGCTTCCCTCATGCCCTGGAATACAACTCAGAGCTCCAGGCAGCGGAACCATCTGTTGTTTTGTTTGCCAGAAAGTGCACCCTGTATGGTCTCCTGTCTAAGTTGGAAATATTATGCATGTGCAGGACTATTCGAGTATTTTATAAACAGTAGCACACAATAAATTCCATGCATGGGCCGCTGCTCCTATCTCTGTGTTGGGTTTTATTTGGAAGATGCAGTCTGATTTGGCCTTTTGATGCAAATCAGAGAATCCTGTTACTAGAGCTGGGATATCCTCCGGAGATTATCTCATGGATAGTTCATGGTGATTTGATTAATTAAATTCTTTATAAATTTTGCCTTAAAAAAAAACTTGTTATATACTTGTTTTACATGAGCATTAGTAACTGAGTATTAGAGGACTTTATATGCCTACTATAGGCCTCCTAAATCTAATATTTAAGATCACTGTTTATTATCTTTTAATTGAAAGAAAATATGTTATTATCTAGAATTTTGTTATAGTGGTGTTGCGAATTTACTGGGTATTCTAACAACAAGAAAAAATATTAGTGATAATTGCATTTTCCTATCTTATTCCTTTCTTCTTTGTCATAATCAAAGTAAGTATAGGATTTTGCACATTGAGGGATATTAGGATATTGCTCAAAATTATATAATAATATAATACAATAACTTGAATTACAGTCTCAACAATAATTACAATGAGATACATTATAAAACATTAAGTCAAAATATAGGCACGGCACAGTGGCTCATGCCTGTAATCCAAACACTTTGGGAGGCTGAGACAGAGGATTGCTTGAGCCTAGAAGCTCATGGTTGCAAGCTGTGTGTTGAGCTATGATTGTACCACTGTACTCCAGCATGGGTGACAGAGTGAGACCCCATCCCTTAAAAATAAACAAAATACATACATGCAAATATATTAGGCAAGTGTGCATGCACACACACATACACGTACTTGCCTAATTCCAGGTAACACAGAACTTCTCAAATAGTTTTCTTTTGTCTTTTTCTTTTCTTTTTTTTTTTTTTTTTTGAGACGGAGTCTCGCTCTGTCACCCAGGCTGGAATGCAGTGGCCTGATCTCAACTCACTGCAACCTCCACCTCGTGGGTTCAAGTGATTCTTCTGCCTTGGCCTCCCGAGTACCTGGGACTACAGGCGCCCACCACCATGCCCAGCTAATTTTTGTATTTTTAGTAGAGACGGGGTTTCACCATGTTGGCCAGGCTGGTCTCAAACTCCTGACCTCGTGATCCACCCGCCTCAGCCTCCCAAAGTGCTGGGATTACAGGCATGAGCCACCATGCCTGGCCACAAATTGTTAATTATTATAACTCTCTGCTTGCCATAATGTTAACTTACAAAGCAGTCCATGAGTTTGCTCTAAGGTTATGCATTGCATACCTTAAAGATTGTTGTTGATGTTGTTTTATGAAAGCTATTCAGTAAAGAGTTTATCTGGCTAACATAGACCCAATAGAAAAATTAAAAAGTAAATAAAGTAAGAGTTTAACTAGTATATCAGGTGCCAGGAACTTCCTTAGCCCTTAGATGCATAACTAGCATTATATAGTGTTTGTGGGAATCATGGGTCAGCATTAAGTACTATCAGCAAAAAAACTATGGATTGATGGTAAAAGTTAAGAGGAAAATAAGAGAGAGGAACCACACTCAGGAAAAGCAATATACCTGAAGAGTGATAAAGTATCACACAGTGGCTCACAGACCACTTACTACATGTTGAATAGGAACCTCTTTCTAGTCTTTCTTCATAATTCGTTTCACAACATACCATTTATTAAGATTTTTAAAATACAACTAATGATGAATACAAATTGTGAAAAGTTCAGACTTTTTAAATTGTAACTTTAAATGTCTACCAGAGCAAGTCAGTGATGGTAAAATATAAGTATTCAACATCAAAATTTTTCTATATTACCATTCTCCTTTATATTCATTGACAACTTCTGAATTAGAAAAGTCAATCTCTGATGTCTTGTATCTTCTGCAGTTCAGCCATTATTAACAGAACTAACATTTGAGGTTCTCAGCTAAATTTTGAAGCCCGTTAAATTTGAAGTTGGCCTAAACTTTTGCTCAAAGTGAATTACCCCTATTTTATTTAGGGTTTTTGCCTATTGCAACTGATTTTCCTTTATCCACAGCTGTTCTACATAATGTTATGCAGTGTTTGGTTGAATCCTTAACACTTTTCTTGCACTTTGCCTGCGTGTAGTTTGTACTTTCTGCAGTTTGGGGTTCCTGTGTGGATTTGATTTGCCACATTCCGGGACCTCATTGCAAGTGATTCTGTTCCACAGTTTGATGATGTTCACAGAAGCAGGTAAGTGAGAGCTGGGGCCAGATATAAGCAGAAAGTCAGAACTTTTTTATTTAAAAATTAAAAAAAAAATTTTTTGGAGGGGGTAAGAAAGTTGTATCTTGCAGTCTTTTAGGACCACTGCCCTAACAACATCAGATAGGATATCTGTAAGTAGAAAGAAGCTAGGAATGTGGAATTGAATTTCCTGCATCAGCTGCGATTACAAGGAGGGTAAGAGAATGGTTGAGCTGATTCTTTTCTATTTTCTTTTCCTGGAAATAGTGTGTATTTTTAGTCATTAACTAATATTTTGGTTTTGTTTAATATCCCAGAAGCATTTATTCCTCTCTTAAACAGGTAAAGTGCTCCTGATGACACTCACTCAGAGAATTTACCTTACCCTTCTTTCAGGGAAAGTGAATTTTACAAGTTAATTCTGCATGTTTCCCCTACAACTGATTTCATTCTGTATCATTAAATGGCTATTTATTTTCTCCCTTCTACTTAGTCCAAGATGGGACATTGTTGAGTTTTGTTTGAACAGTGTTTGTTATGCTAAAAAAGGACACTGGGCCTGGGGGAACTCATCCTGTGTCTAGATCAACAAATAGAACTCTGGAGGATTCCTGATCCTCTGGTTCCTCCCACGTGGTTTGAAAGGTGCTTACCCTTTCCAATCAAATATTGACTTCTGCACTAATCCAAACGGTTTTTTTTCTGAAGCTGTAAACTGAAAACAGAAATATTGCCTTGAGTGAGAGAAATCTAGGAAGCAGTAGGTTTCATTTTTTGTCAGCCTGCCTGGCCTTTACTTGGCTAACACTTGGGAGTGTTGACAGTCCTGAGCCCTCTTGGCAGAGAACAAAGGTTAGAAAGAGAGAAGCCCTCAGGCAGGGGGACAGATCTCTCTTTGCCTCATTAGGGAGAATTCAGCCTTGTCTGTCTGGTTGGCAGGGCACACTTAATCACTGAGACTCAGCATTTCAGCAGTTTGCAAAGGAAAGTGATATGAAGGGACAGCTGCAAGTAAGTCACAGCCTAGATCTGAAGAGATCAAGCACTCACTTCACTTGGAGGAAAGAGAGAAGGAAGGAAGCTGAGGACTTAGCAGGGTAAGTTTTTTCCGTCAACCTGTCTGCTTGCTTAGTTTATAATTGAGTAAAGTATTTATCACCCCAGGCAGTGTTAATCACTGATTAAACAGCTGAATGTGGCCGTAATTACAGTGTCCTTAATGCATTTCTCCTTTTCTTTTCCTACCACCTTATAAGGATCGCCAATGACCAGTTTCACTCTCCCTTCTCCCTACCTTCCCAAAGATGTTTTGCATTTTTTGGTGACTTACAGAAAATTAGATGAGCACTCCTTATCTGCAGATAGTGAAAATATGACTGTAGTTTAGGTGAAGCTTGGGACTCTTGGTGGTAAAGCAGAAGATGGGAAACCTAGGTCTAGGAATAGATTAATATTTTGACTTGTAATTTGGACATGAAGGATAAAAGTTTTTCTAGGCAATCAAGATCGTGTCTCCTCTCCTCTTCAGTTCTTGGTGTTGGTGTTCTCTCTTTCATACTGGGACTAAATTAGAGCCTAAGTCACTGGGGATGGCTAGAAAAAAATGAAAGGGATTCCCTTTCTAAGTGGAGAACATTCTGGACTCTGGAAAGTTCAAAGAGCTTATTGCAGTTCTTTTCAGCTTCTCCCATGTGTCCCCTGTTTTTTCCTTTGTTTCTCTCAGTTTATAACCCATAAACAGGGAGGAGCCTGGGGCTCTTTGCAGGAAAATTAGAACCAGGGAAGCTGTGTCTGGGCCTGGGGTATACAAACTCAAACATGAACCTGATGATATATATAGATGCAGATCAAAGACCTGGCTTCTCACCCACCTTCTTACTTTTCTGCCAGAAAGCTAACTCACTTGTATCACGAACATTGTGCTCTAGACACAGAGGAGACTGTGACATTAGGGATTTTTTACCACCACTCCTCTTCCCCAAACTGTGTGATACTTCTGCTTTCTAACCAGTTCAACCAACTCCCAGATTGCCAAGAGCTAATCTTCCATTAGAGGAAGACCTCTCCTTGGAAATGCAGATAAATAAAGCAGTACCTTTCTGACTTTAAGTGACTTGCTTCCATTGCAGCAAAAAGGCTTATGTTTTAACTTCAGGGAGATATCTATTATAAATTCTGGGACCTAAGACCCTAGAGTTGTCTTAAATCACACTTCTCCTTCCATACCTATTAAAAAAAAAAAAAAAAGTCCATTCTTTCAAGGTTTAAGAAAGTGTTATCTTGGCCGGGTGCTGTGGCTCATGCCTGTAATCCCAGCACTTTGGGAAGTTGAGGCAGGCGGATCACGAGATGAGGAGTTCGAGACCAGCCTGACCAATGTGGTGAAACCCCGTCTCTACTAAAAATACAAAAATTAGCCAGGCGTGGTGGTGCGAGCCTGTAATCTCAGCTACTCAGGAGACTGAGGCAGGAGAATCACTGGAACCCGGGAGGTGGAGGTTGCAGTGAGCCAAGATCGCACCACTGCACTCCAGCCTGGGTGACAGAGTGAGACTCCGTCTCAAAAAAAAAAAAAGAAAGAAAAAGAAAGTATTATCTTGCCTGAGGCGGGTGGGTAGAGTAGATAAATGCCTTTTCTAGAATGGCAGTGATTCTGAAAATGCAATGAGAATGTGAGGTGATTAAAAGTAGAGGAGAGAATGAGGTTAGTTGTTGGAAATGGGGTCCTAAAGTGTGAAGGGCAATTCCATCTACTCTTTTACTAAAAGGACATGACCCTTAAACCCTAAGATAATCTAATATCATTAGGTCCAATTTCTTCTTCATTGAAGGTAATATATAGGATATGGTATACAGGTGAGCTTGGCTATTTCTGTTCTGTGGACTCTGAAACCATCCATTCACCCTTGGGATAAGGGGAGATATTAAGAGGGTAGATGGAAACGTAAGGATGAGGAGAAAGAAAGTACAAAGGAAAATACAAATTTATTCCTCCATTAACCTGAGGATGGGTTTTTAAGAGTCATGTTGTAAGATATGGATATGAACTAGATAATTCTGGGAGCTTTTTGTTTGTTTTTGCCACCTGCATACACCTCAGCTGCATGATGATTCTGAGGTTTTTCCTAACAGATCTGATCTAGAAGGATCAAATGTCAGATCATTTTTGTAACAAAACATGATCCCTGGTTTGAACTTTAACAGTTACCTCATTCATATGGCCAGCATTTTTAATCCTCTATCATTTCTCTGTACCTGAAGACAGTTAATCTGGGGATTAATAACTTTTTAGCCTCTCAGTTTCTATGAATACCTTCCTTTCTTTTTTAATTGAAGTGAAAATCATATAACATAAAATTAGTAATTTTAAAGTGAGCAATTAAATGGCATTTAGTATATTCACAGTATTGCGCAACCACCATTTTTGTCTTGTTTCAAAACATTTTTATCACCCCAAAAGAAGACCCCATAACCATTAAGCAGTTACTCCTCATTTTTCCTTCCACCCAACCCTTAGCAACTACCAATCTGCCTTATGTGTCTGGGTTTACCTGTTTACATATTTCGTAGAAACGGCATCATACAACATGTATATAACCTTTTGTGTCTGGCTTTCTTCACTTAGCATAATGTTTTTTGAAGTTCATCTACATTGTAGCATGTATCAGTATTTCATTTCTTTTTATAGCTGAATAATATACATCTTCATATGTATATTTATATCCTAATTTGTTTATCCATTTATCCATTGATGGACCTTTTTGGGTTGTTTCTACCTTTTAGCTGTTGTGAATAGTGCTGCTATGAACATTCACTTATAAATACTGGTTTGAGTATCTGTTTTTAAATATTTTGGGCACATACCTAATAAAGAAATTTCTGGTTATATAGTAATATTATGTTAACTTTTTGGGGAACTGCCATACTGTTTTCTATAGTGGTGGCACTATTTTACATTCTTACCTGTAGTGTATGAGGGTTCAAATTACTCCATATCCTCATCAACACTTGTTATTTTCTGTTTTTTTGATAATAGCCATACTAGTGGGTATGAAGTGATATCTCACTGTTGCTCTGATTTGCATTTTCCTAATGACTATTGACCTTATTTTCTTGTGTTTATTGTCCATTTGCATATATTCTTTGGGAAAATGTCTATTCACATATTTTGCCCAATTTTTTAGTTGGGTTGTTTGGTGGTTTTTTTGTTTGTTCTTTGTTATTGAGTTGTGGGAATTCTTTATATATTCTGGATACTAACACCTTACCAGATATATGGCGTGCAAATATTTTCTTCCATTCTTTGGGGTGTCATTTGACTCTGCTGTTAGCATCTTTTGATGCACAAAAGTTTTCAGTTTTGCTGTCCAATTTATCTATTTTGCTGGTGGTGGTGTTGCCTGTGCTTTTGGTGTCATATCCTAGAAATTATTGCCAAAACCTATGTCATGAACCTTCCCCCATAGACTTTTACAGACTTTTTACTTCTAAAGTTTAGGTCTTTATACTTTAGACGTTCAAACTCAAGTCATTCTGTTTCATTAATTTGCAGAATGTTTCTGCCCATATTTCTGTGTTTATTCTCTCCTCTGTGCTTAGAATTTTTTCCCTATTTCCAAGTATTCAAAGTATTCCCATCTTTCAAGCTACCTGCTTCATGAAGAAAGCCACTGAAGAAATTCTCACCCACTGGAGAGATTTCTTTTTCTGATCTCCCATTAGTGCTTTAGTTGCACTTTTCTGGTTGGATTTATGTAGTACCTTACAGTCTATATCTAATTTCCCTATAAGACTTTTAGATGAGATACATATTTTTCATTTTTGCTTCTATATAGAGTGTTTTGCAGATGATTTCATCTGTTTATCAGTAAATACATATTACCTGAATGGACATTTTAATTTTTCTCATATGGTCCTTCCTGTTTCCTCAGCTCTTATGGAAGGCATGGGAGAAGATGAGACAGGGAAGGAGGACAGCACAGAGTCACAGCCAGATGGTGACTGAGTGTAGGCTTATTTCTACCTCAAAACTTACCACTGTAGGAAATTTTTCTGACTTGCTTGACTACATAACTCTTAGTGCACGTTTTGTATTACATTTAATTTTTACTTGGCAAATTGCTTATAAATGTGATAATAGATGTTTCAAAATGTTTTCTCTCTCTAACTAGATTAAATTGTCTAAGTCTCCAATTGGATGATCGCTTTGGACAACTAAAACTTCTATTGCTTTTTCCTCTTTTAAATTGAGTTTTAAAATACACTAAAGATATATTAACATTTTCTCCTGATAAAAAAAAGTCAAACATTACAGATAAGTATACAGTCGCGTTCGATCAGCCCAGTTCCTATTTAACTGGCTTCTTACCCTACTCAGAGTTAATCACTGTTACCAGTTTTCTTTTTTTTTTTTTTTTTGAGACAGAGTTTTGCTCTCGTTGCCCAGGCTGGAGTGCAATACCGTGATGTCGGCTCACTGCAACCTCCACTTCCTGGGTTCAAGCAATTCTCCTGCCTCAGCCTCCCAGGTAGCTGGGATTACAGGCACCCACCACCACACCCACCTAAGTTTTTGTATTTTTAGTAGAGACAGGGTTTCACCATGTTGGCCAGGCTGGTCTTGAACTCCTGACCTCAGGTGATCTGCCTGCCTTGGCCTCCCAAAGTACTGGGATTACAGGTGTGAGCCACCATGCCTGGCTGTTACCAGTTTTCTATGGGCCCTGTCAAATTTTTTTTATGCATTTATTTACATATATATATACACACACACACGTATATATACACATATACATATGTATATACATACACATATATATATAAAAAATGGGACTTAATATGTATAAATTATATTCATATAAAATTGTTTCTTCTCGGCTGGGCGCAGTGGCTCAAGCCTGTAATCCTAGCACTTTGGGAGGCCAAGGTGGGTGGATCACCTGAGGTCAGGAGTTTGAGACCAGCCTCACCACCATGGTGAAACCCCATCTCTACTAAAAAGTACAAAAATTAGCCAGGTATGGTGGCGCCTGCCCATAGTCCCAGCTACACTGGAGGCTGGGTGGAGGAGTGAGCTGAGATTGCTCTGCTGCACTCCAGCCTGGGCGACAGAGCGAGACTCTATCTCAAAAAACAACAACAAACTCTTTTTTCTCTATTTTTTACAGCTGCCTATGGTGATCAATAACCAGTAAATACTGAATAAATCTTACTGATAACCTGGGTGTGAGAGACTTGAATGAGAAGTGAAAGGTCAAGCATATGAAAACACTTCACATGTGTCCAGCTTGTAAAATTCTATTCCATGTCTGTTCTGCATATAGTCTCCACGTATCACTGGACAGGCCATGGCTCCACGGTCCCGGCGACGAAGGCACAGGAAACCTCCCTCATCAGTGGCTCCCATCATTATGACCCCAACCACAATTGTGACCCCTATGCCTCTGACCCCCTCAAAACCGGGCCCTAGCATTGACACACTTGGCTTCTTCTCCTTGGATGATAATGTTCCTGGCCTATCGCAGCTGATCCTTCAAAAGCTGAACATGAAAAGCTATGAAGAATACAAGTGAGTGACCAGCTCTATGGAAGAGGGATATATTGTCTCTGGTAGAAGTAAATTTCAGAAGGTGGAGAGGGAGTACAGTTTGGGGAATATGAAGTATTTGCAATAAGCTATTTTCTCATCCTGACTTTTGCTATATTTTACTATATTACTATAAAAGAAGAAATATTCACTTAAGTGAAAAATGATGGCAGTGAGAGACGTAGGAGTACGTGGAAATGTGTAGGAGACAAGATGAGGGGCATGAGAGATTTTGGAGATACTCCTTTGCCCACTGCCATTCCTTCTCCATGCTGTCTCTGCAGGTTGGTGGTAGATGGGGGTACCCCTGTATCAGGCTTTGGATTTCGATGTCCTCAAGAAATGTTCCAGAGGATGGAAGACACATTTCGATTCTGTGCTCACTGTAGAGTACTCCCTAGTGGCCTTTCAGACTCCAAGGTTCTCCGGCACTGTAAGAGGTGACTTGTGGGGGTGCTAATCGGGAGACATTCAGAAATGATCCTGTACTAGCCGGACATGATGACTCATGCCTGTAATCCCAGCACTTTGGGAGGCCAAGGCAGGTAGATCACATGAGGCCAGCCTGGCCAACATGGCAAAACCCTGTCTCTACTAAAAATACAAAAATTAGCCCGGTGTGGGGGCACACACCTGTAGTCTCAGCTACTCGAAAGGCTGAGGTGGGAGAATTGCTTGAACCCAGGAGGCAGAGGTTCCTGTACTATGACCTCATTCCAAGAGGAAAGATCTGAAAGTTTTCAAAATAACCTAAGGCTTAGGTCCTCATTTTTTGTCATCCAGGTTACAGAGATTAGAACAATGTTCTAACCCTGCTTATTTTTGGTGTTACTGGGAAGTGAGACAAGAAACCACAATACAGTCCTCTCTATCTCTCTCTCAAGTACTCAAGGAGTAAGACTACATTTGTTCTGGGGAGGTGGGGGTTGAACCATACCTGTTATGAGAGGACAGCTGCAAACTCGTGGTGTTTTTTCTAATAGTGATATAAAAAGTTCCAGATAGAGAGTAAGGTATCACTCTGTCTGGCAGAATAATTATATTCCCAATCCCTCCTGCCTTGTCTGCCAAATGTAGTCCCCAAAATTGGTGCATCAGCTGTCATTCCTCTCCCTACCTTCCTTACTTATTCACCATCCTAGGTGCAGGAATATCAGTTCCTTTCCTCAGATAACCCCAATCACATTTATAGTATAAGAATTATTTCTCTCTCATTGTCTCAGGTGCAGAAATGTCTATTACTGTGGTCCGGAGTGCCAGAGGTCAGACTGGCCTGCACACAGGAGGGTTTGTCAAGAGCTTCGTCTTGTGGCCGTGGACCGTCTCATGGAATGGCTTCTGGTCACAGGTGGAGTGGTGGTGTTGAGGAACTCTGCTGTAATGGTCATAGTTGATTGTATTTAAAGGAAGATACAAAATCATATTGTTACGAAAAAATGAGGAAGTGGGGCAAAGGTTGGGGCACCCCTGCTCACAGGTTGGCAGAGTGAACATGGAGGGAATATTGATCATTAGTGAGGGGCAAATTTTGAAGCCAGGAAAGCATTAGGTTACTTCTTATTTCTTCTTTCCTACAGGTGATTTTGTCCTACCCTCAGGACCTTGGCCATGGCCCCCTGAAGCTGTACAGGACTGGGACTCCTGGTTTTCTATGAAGGGGTTACACCTAGATGCTACACTGGATGCTGTGCTAGTCAGTCATGCCGTGACCACTTTATGGGCCAGTGTAGGACGGCCAAGGCCAGACCCAGATGTCCTGCAGGGATCTTTGAAGCGGCTGCTGACAGATGTCCTGTCACGGCCCTTGACTCTGGGCCTAGGACTTAGGGCCTTGGAGATAGATGTTAGGAGGATTGGGGGAAGCACAGTGCATGTGGTTGGTGCTTCCCATGTGGAGACATTTCTTACTCGCCCTGGGGACTATGATGAACTTGGCCACATGTTTCCTGGGCACCTTGGACTCCGTGTGGTCATGGTGGGTGTAGATGTGGCTAATGGCTTTTCACAGAGCACCTCAACTTCACCCCTGGAACCTGGCACAATTCAGCTTAGTGCCCACAAGGGCCTCTATCATGACTTCTGGGAGGAGCAAGTAGAGACTGGGCAGACAGACCATCCAGATTTGGTGGCAGCATTCCATCCAGGTAAGACTCATTGGTTCAGGGGAATAGAGGGTGGCTTCCCTGAGAATTTTCCATCCTGAATCTTGTATCTTCTGTCTTTGGAATCCCATTCGTTTGGTCTCATTAAACACACTATGATGACAGCTTTTCTTTTTTTTTGAGACGGAGTCTGGCTCTGTCACCCAGGCTGGAGTGCAGTGGCGCGATCTCGGCTCACTGCAAGCTCCGCCTCCCGGGTTTACGCCATTCTCCTGCCTCAGCCTCCCGAGTAGCTGGGACTACAGGCGCCCGCCACCTCGCCCGGCTAGTTTTTTTTTGGTATTTTTTTAGTAGAGACGGGGTTTCACCGTGTTAGCCAGGATGGTCTCGATCTCCTGACCTCGTGATCCGCCCGTCTCGGCCTCCCAAAGTGCTGGGATTACAGGCTTGAGCCACCGCGCCCGGCCGACAACTTTTCTTGATGATTTGCAATATGTACTACACTTGGGTTCAGAATTTTTCATCGAAGAACTTGGAGTGGACGATGATGATGATGATGATAATGATGATAATGATTGGGGATAAGCAAGGTGAGGAGTGGGGTGCTCACAGTCAAATATCTTGCTCTTAGGGTCTGCTTTAGTCTTTCCCTATTCCCATTTTCATTTTTGTTCCACAGGTTTCCATTCCTCCCCAGACTTGATGGAGGCTTGGCTGCCCACCCTGCTGCTACTTCGTGACTATAAGATTCCTACATTGATTACTGTTTACAGGTTTTAACCTCTTCCTATTTGTGATACTTCCCTGACTTTACATCTCTCTTTATATAGATGAGCTCATTTTGCCCCCTCTTGCTCATCTACCTTCTGGTGAGGATGTTCTTTTCCACATATGACTTTTTCATCCCCATGGAACAGTCCTTTGCTAGTTAATTGAGTATCTAATGAGACATTTGGGAGGGAAGGATAGCCCTTGCCTAGTCCAGCGTTAGGCAATTTGGGGGATTGGTGATTACAGAAATGTCAGGCTCTTGGGCAATTTTTTCTTTATCTCTGTCACAATCAGTAATTTTTCTTCTCTCTTCTACAGTCATCAGGAGTTGGTATCCTCTTTGCAGATTCTGGTGGAACTGGATACACACATCACTGCCTATGGGGCTAATCCTTTCATGTCCCTCAAACCTGAACAGGTCTATTCCAACCCCAACAAGCAGCCAGTATACTGCAGTGCATATTATATCATGTTTCTTGGAAGCTCCTGTCAGCTGGATAATAGTCAATTAGAAGAGAAAGTGGATGGTGGGATTTAAATAGATCATGACTGGACATCTGGAAAATGGGGAGGTTGTGATGAAATTACCCTGCTAATGCCAAATTCTTGCAAACTTTGAAAAACACTATATTCTAAACCTCATTCACTGTTTGGGTAAAAATTCTAAGCTGAATGAGAGTTTTTGTATAACGTAATTAGTTTCTTTCTTTTTTTGAGATGGAGTCTTGCTCTGTTGCCTAGGCTAGAGTGCAGTGGCGCGATCTCGGCTCACTGCAGCCTCCACCTCCTGGGTTCAAGCGGTTCTCCTGCCTCAGCCTCCCTAGTAGCTGGGATTACAGGTGCGCACCACCACACCTGGCTAATTTTTGTATTTTCAGTACAGACAGAGTTTCGCCGTGTTGACCAGGCTTGTATCAAACCCTTGATCTCAGGTGATCTGCCTGCCTTGACCTCCCAAAGTTCTGGAATTACAGGCATGAGCCACCATGCCCAGCCAATGTAACTGGTTTCTAAGAGTTTAGCCACAGTACCTTTTAGAGATAGGAAATTAGATTGAGTGGGTGGGAAGAGGCCCTGATGTTAGTCTTTCCAGAGCTTATAGTTCCTAACACTTTCCTTTGTAAGGAAGTTTACCTTTTGACTGGAACCAGATGGCACTGAGGAGAAGAATGAGAACCACCTTATTCTTCTGAAAAAGACTTTCTTCTCATCCAGTAATTTGGGCTAAAAAATGGAAAGATGTTGATGATTTGAAGTGGTAGAAGAATGGACAAGTCAGGGAAGTCACTGGGAACATGGATGAGGTTGTAAGCATTGGTATACTGTCCTGTTTCCTGGCTTTTTTGAGAGAAATGTCTAATTTTCCTGTTTTCTCTTGGGGACTTTTGACCCTAGAGTAGCCCTGGTGTTGTATTTGAGATATCCCAAGCTATATCAGACTTTACCTGAATATACTGGAGTTACTTTTTATCCCCCATTCTATAGCCCAATAAACTCAGTTTGGGGCTTCTCAAGTCACTTGTTTTATTTCCTGTTCACTGGCAAGTATTACTCATCTGCACATAACACCTCAAGACTGGAAGTTTCTCTCTTGCTAACAGAGTAATTAGCATCAGTTCTCTGGGTCTGCCACTCTGTCACACATTTGCCTCATGTCATCCTTTTCTTTTTTACTTTTTTTTTTTTTTTTTTGAGACGGAGTCTTGCTGTGTCACCCAGGCTGGAGTGCAGTGGCGCAATCTCAGCTCACTGCAAGCTCCGCCTCTCGGATTCACGCCATTCTCCCGCCTCAGCCTCCGAGTAGCTGGGACTACAGGCGCCCGCCACCACGCCCGGCTAGTTTTTTTGTATTTTTAGTAGAGACAGGGTTTCACCATGTTAGCCAGGATGGTCTCGATCTCCTGACCTTGTGATCGACCCGCCTCGGCCTCCCAAAGTGCTGGGATTACAGGCTTGAGCCACTGCGCCCAGCCTTTTTTTCCTTTTTTTTTTCTGGAGACAGTCTTGCTCTGTCACCAAGGCTGGAGTGCAGTGGCATTATCATAGCTCGTTGCAGCCTCAGACTCCTGGGTTCAAGTGATCCTTCCATTTCATTCTCTCAAGTAGTTGGGACTTACAGGTGCATACCACCATGCCCAGCTAACTTTTTGTTTTTTCTAAAGACAGGGCCTCCTTGTGTTGCCCAGGCTGGTCTTAAACTCCTGGGCTCAAGCAGTCCTCCCACCCAGAGTGTTAGGATTACAGGCATGAGACACCGTGCCCAGCCAGTATCATCCTCTTCTTATCATACTTTCAGGATTAGGACATTTCCTAGGTATTCATTCCTACAATCTTGCCATGACTGTCTCTCGCACACATACAGCCCATCACCCCAACACACACATACATACTCTGTTGCCCACTCTAATAGGGATAATTTTAGAATTTCGTATGTTCATTCAAAACAGTACCTGTCATGCTACAGGTAATGTGTTTTGGCTTTGGGGAGATTGAAAGGTGAATGAGACATGGTGTTTATTCTTAGGAAGGGAAATAATATTTATGTATATGGAGATACCTTTATTGCAAGGTAAAAAATGGAGTAAGAAACATGAGAGAGGCTTCTGGTGCTAAGGAAATAGAGTGAAAAGAGATCATTTTGTTAAATGATACTGAAAATATTCTGAGTGGGAATTTTATGAAACAGCACAGGGCACTCAAGGTGGAAGGAGCAACAGGACGGGAAGTTTGGAGGCAGAAAAGCCTATGGGATATTTGAAGGTACCTTTGGGGATTAGTATAAATTAAATCTGGAAGGTAGACTGAGATAAGATTATAGGAGTATTGTGGATTTTTGTAGATTTGAGTATGAATCCTGGGGCAGCCATCAAATTTTGTATCGCTGGGGAAGCTAAACTTCTCTAAGCCTTAGTTTCTTCATCTGTAAAATGGAAATAATACCAAGTACCCCAAATTAATATTGAAGTTAAATGAAAATGTTTGCAAAGTTGGAGAACTCACACATCCCAATTTCTTTCTTTCTTTTTTTTTTTTTTTTTTTTTGAGACAGAGTCTTGCTGTTGCCCAGACTGGAATGCAGTGGTCCTATCCTGATTCACTGCGACCTTTGCCCCCCCCACCCACCCGGCTCAAGTGATCCTCCCACCTCAGCCTCCCTAGTAGCTGGGACCACAAGTGCAAGCCACCACGCCCAGCCAATTTTTGTATTTTTTGTAGAGACAGGATTTTGTCATGTTGCCCAGGCTGTTTTTGAACTCCTGAGCTCAAGAGATCCACCCTCCTCAGCCTCCCAAAGTGCTGGGATTACAGACATGAGCCACTGTGCCCAGCCCCCAGTTCCAAAACCTATAATCATTATATACTTACCAGTTCAATATCCCTAATCTGAAAACCCAAAATGCTCCCTGAGCATTTCCTTTGAGTGCTATGTCGGCACTCCAAAAGTTTCAGGTTTTGGAACATTTTGATCTCGGTACTCAAAAAGCTTTAGATTTTGGAGTATTTTGAATTTCGGATTTTTGGATTAGGGATGCTTAACCTGTACAAAATAGTAGTAGTCAAGACAATGTGATACTGGCATAGAATAGACATATAGGTCAGTGCAATAGAATTGAGAATTGTCTTAGTCTGCTTGGGCTGCTGTAACAAAATACTGTAAACTGTGTGGCTTGTAAACATCAAATTTATTTTCCACATTTCTGGAAGCTGGCAAGTCCAAGATCAAGGCACTAGCAGATTTTCTGTCTGGGAAGGGCATGTTCTTACTGTGGAAGGGGTGACTGAGCTAACTCTTTCCTCTTTTACAAGGACCCTAATCCCACTCATGAGGGCTCTGCTCTCATGACCTAATCATTTCCCAAAGATCCCACCTCCTAAAGCCAGAGGTTAGGATTTCAACATGTAAATTTGTATGTGTGTGTATGTGTGTGTGTGTGTGTGTGGTGTATGTATGTGTATGTGTTGAGGTGGAGGATAGTGGTTCATGCCTGTAGTCCCAGCACTTTGGGAGGTGGAGGCAAGCAGATTGTTTGAGCTCAGGAGCTTGAGACCAGTGTGGGCAACATCCTGAAACCCTGTCTCTAAAAAAAATACAAAAAAAAATTAGCTGGGCATGGTAACCACATACCTGTAGTCCTAGCTACTTGAGGGGCTGAGGTGTGAGGATCGCTTAAGCCCAGGAGGTTGAGGCTGCAGTGAGCCAAGATTGCGCCACTGCACTCCAGCCTGGGTGAAAAGTGAGAACCTGTCTCAAAAAGAAAAGAAAAGAAAAAAAACCTTAACATTTATGGTCAATTGCTTTTTGACAAGGGTACATAAGCAATTAATTGGGAAAAGAACAGACTTTTCAACAAACAGTGCTCGGACAACTGGATATCCATGTGCAGAAGAATAAAATTACACCCTCACCTCACACAATATACAAAGATTAACTCAAAATGGTTCAAATACCTAAAACAAACTCTTCAAAGAAAATAAAGGGTAAAATCTTCATGAACTTACATTGGGCAATGTTTTCTTAGATGTGACACCAAAAGCACAAGCAACCAAAATAAAAATAAATAAATTAGACTATCAAAATTTAAAATTTTGGGCCAGATGTGGTGGCTCACACCTGAAATCCCAACATTTTAGGAGGCAAAGACAGGAGGACTGCTTAAGCCCAGAAGTTCAAGATGAGCCTAAGCAACATAGACCTATCTCTACAAAAAAGAAAAAATTAGCTGGACATGGTGGCACATGCCTGTAGTCACACTACTTGGGAGGCTGAGATGGAAAGATCACTTGAGCCCAGGAGGCTGCAGTGAGCCATGATCACACTCCGGCCTGGGTGACAGAGCGAGATCCTGTCCCCCCCCCCAAAAAAAAAGTGTAAAGAATGAGAGAAAATATTCACAAATTATATGTCTGATAAGGGACCTACAACTTAAAAGGACGGATAACCCAATTAAAAAATGGGCAAAGGATCTGAACATACATTTCCCCAAAAAAGATGTACAAATGGCCAATAAGTACATAAAAAGATGCTCAACATCATCAATCATTAAGGAATACAAATTAAAATTACAATGAGATACCACTTCCTACCCACTACGGTGGCTATGATTAAAAAAAAAAAAAAAGAGGTAGTAACAAGTGTTGATGAGGATCTGAAGAAATTGTAACCTTCATAACAGTGCTGGTGGGAATGTATGATGCAGCCAATTTGGAAAACAACAGTCTGGCAGTTCCTCAAACAGTTAAACATTGAGGGCCAGGTAATGATGACTCACGCCTATAATCCCAGCACTTTGGGAGGCTGAGCTAGGAGTATTGCTTAAAGCCAGGAGTTTGAGACCAGCCTGGGCAATGAGTCAAGACCCTGCCCCTTAAATAAATAAATAAATAAATAAATAAATAAAAGTTAAAAATTGACTTACCATTTGACCCAGCAGTTTTGCTCATAGGTTTGTACCCATGAGAAATGAAATCATATGTATATAAATATTCATAGCAGCGTTATTCATGATAGCCAAAAGATGAAAACAACCAAAATATCCATCAGCTTATGAATGGATAAGGAAAATGTGGTAAATCCTTACAAGGAAATAGTATTTGACCATAAAAGTAATGAAATACTGATTCATGCTACAATATGAAAGCCAGTTACAAAAGACTACATTCTGTACAAGTGCATTTATGTGAAATGTTCAGAATAGACAAGTCTATGGAGACAAAGTAGATTAGTGGCTACATGTGGAGGGGGAGTATAGGGGTATTGGGGGTGATGGGTAAAGGGTATGGGATATAACCATTCTAAAATTGATTGTGGTGATAGATGCACAACTCTGAATGTACTAAGAATCATTGAATTGTACACATATGGGTGAATTATATTTCAGTAAAGCTGTTACCAAATTTTTTTAATCTTAGAGAATGTAAAAAATAAGGATATTGAAATCCTTAACACAGTACCTAGCAAATAGTATGTCCTTAGTAGCTATTATTTGATAAATACCATTTTGAATTTTGCTCAGTAACATAGATTGAACTAGCAGTAGTGTGTAAGATGGTTTGGTAATGGAAAATCCAGTTAGGACACTACTGTCATGGTTCAGACAAGAGATAATGTAGGTGTCAGCTAAGATTATATCAGTAGGTATAGAGAGCAAGAGGTAATTTTTAACTACAAGTAAAGTAAATAAGTAGTGACATTTTGCAGGTAGAACATGAAAGTAAAATCTATAGGATTTGTTTGCTGATTGTGATGGATGAAGGGTGATGTATCTGTCAGCCAGAATATAATTAGAAACTACACAGTAACAGGTGGCACAAAAACATCCAATTTAGTAGAATGGTGGTGATAGTACATAAAAGTCCAAATGCCTAGCTTATTGTCAAATGCTGATTCTAAGATGGCTTCTGCCCTTAATAGGAGACTGACAAAAGCAAGGACAATATAATGGAGTTATATTTTCTAAAGTCAGCATATGAAATGAAAAAAATATTTTCAAAACTACCTTTGAAAATCCTTTAG